TAAATTGAATTGTTAACTAATAAAATATAAACTATATCAAATTGAATACTGTTTCGTTGACTGATGTGATAAAGTTTATAGAAATTTATCCCAGCCATGAATGCCTATGGAATACAAGTAAGCTAAATTATTTTTTTTTTTTATTTATTTAAACTTACAATGTGTCAACATATTACATGTTATTACAAGGTATTATTTATATAATAATGATACGGTTAAAAGAAAATAATAATGATGTTGTGGAATGAAATAATGGATAACTAACTTTAGAGAGAGATAAAAGTAATAATAATAATAATATATATAAATTCTAGATTGACAAAATGTTGTCGTTAATAATGATAGACTTGGTTGGATGTTACATAATTTCAATTAAAATTTTGGATAAAATTAATGAGGATAGGTCTGAGAAAAGATAAGATTATAAAGGTATTATGAGACAGTGTGCAATAGTATTATGGAGAGATAATGCCTTTAGCTATTAGTGTGTTTAGGACTGATGTAAGGAGGGAAATTAATGGATTAATTAAAGAGCTTAAATTAGATATGAGTTTTGAAAAGGTATTTGATATTTGTTCTGTGATTTTGTTTTGGTTGTTGGTGACCTCTGCATATGATTTGGTTTTGGTTCTGGGTTGAGACTGTTGAGAGTGAGGATCAGGATCTTTGACTGGTTGAAACTTTTGAGCAGATTTTTTAAATATTGACTCGATTGCTGGGCATCCTTTGAAATTTGCGGTGTGGTCTTTAGCGCATAGAGCGCATTTGGCTGGACTATTTCGGTCCTTGGTACACTCGATTGTCAGATGGTTTTCACCACATTTGACACATCGAGCTTCATGGTTGCAATAGTTCTTTGTATGTCCATAGTCTTGGCAATTATGGCATTGCGGTGGGCCACGTCTTTTTTTGAATGGTTTTTCGATTTTCACTATTGTGTTGAGAAGAGATGTAATTTCATGGATATCATTGTTATTATCTTGCTGACAGATATCCACGAAGAATACTGGAAGTGGGCAGTTGTTCCTGTTTTTGGCATTGTAAATACTCTTGACTGAATGTCCCTGTTCAGTAAGAGCAGAAGTAATATCAGTGTGTAAGGTGGAATTATGTAAATTTTTAATGACGACTCTGTATGTGCGATGACTTGGAGGGGGATAAATGAATGGAAACTAGCTTTTGTTTCATGTAAATGATCTATTATTGCATTGTAAGTTCGTTTATCGGTGGGTTGTACAATGAGGTGTGACGAAGTTGACTTACAGGTGTAACCATTGGGTCCGGTGATATTTTTTAGGACGGTGTTGAATGCTGAGAAGTTGGATATGTTTTTGATGTGGATAGGAGGGGCCACGGGCTTAACATTGTGAACTTTGTGAGGTGGTCTGTCCGGATCTTCCGTGGTGCTAGTTGAAGGTGTGGCGAGTACATTGTCTTCATCGGTGTTGAGTACGGCGTAACGGTTTGAGGTGATAAAAACTTTTTTTTTGTCGATTTGACTAGGCGAACTGTTTGATAGGTTTCGCTTCGTTGTTTTAGGTGTATGCGGCATGATAATGACGTAATATTATTGTGACAAGTTATATAATAGCGATATGATAACGGAACGCGGACGATTACGACGTGCGTGTGTTCATGTTGAACGTTGCGGCCGAACTGAAGCTAAATTATAAAAACGAGACATGAAAAAGGTAGTGGTTTTTTTTTTTTAGAAAAAGAATTGGATATTGATGGGTTTGGGACGAAAGAAATAACAATAACAGTTAAAAATATTAGAAGGTAATATTTACAAGAAAAGAAAAAGATACGGGCGTCTACAGGAACTAGATCCAGTGTGGAGGATATATATCAAAAAATAAGGTCGAATAATTTGTCTTCTGACCTGACTACTCCACGACTAACTAGTACGCTCAGTGAAAATTTTAATCAGGACATGTCAACAGCATCTGTTTTTTCTCGATATCTTCAAAGCTCTCGATCGTGTCTGGCATGAGAGATTTCTTTTCAAAATGTAAACCTTATAAAGTCCTTTGCCTTTAATAAAAATAACAAAATCATTCCTATTAGAAAGAACCTTTTAGACTAGAGTTAATGGAGATTTACCAAAATATATACCTTTAACTTCACCACCCATGCAGGAGATCACCGAGGCTCTTGCTTATCCCCAATTATCTACATCAACTATTAATTCTCGTATATAAGTTCTCGTAATCAAGTAAAACGTAGTCAGTTTGAAAATTGGTCTCGAAAAGTTCAGTGGTTTGTCGCTCTCCGATTTAAAAAAAAACACTAATCACAGCAGTTAAAGCATGTGAAATATAATATATTGCACTACGTTTTTGTATACACACCAACTTTTATTAAATATATGTATGAACAATAGATATTTGCGTAATATGTAGCTAGTGTATCTACTATAAATAATTGATTTATTCAAATTTATTAATGAATTATGTTTGGAACAAATATTTTTAACGCTCTTTTATTCGAATTACAATGGTCACCGCTTATTGGACTCACTTTGGAGCCAGGCCATTTGAGTCCATTAAACGAATGAGTCAATAAGACGAATAACCAAAAAATTTTAAAAAATGCTTAAAATTAAAAATATATTTACTTAATAATATTTATTATGATTCGAGGTATGTATATAAATAAAAATCTAGCTACTCTATTAAAAATAGAATCAAATAATATGTATGTAAAATTTATTTAATTTTTTAATAAAAATCTATCCAGAGTTGATTGGATTTTTCCTTCTTCTGCCATCTTCATAATCATATCTACATAGGATTTATGTTGCTTGAATACGTCAAAATCGCCTCTTTGCTGAAGCTACGTAGAATTTGAAGTGAATCTAGTATTAGTTTAGTTTATGGTAGTTTCTCATCAAGTTCCTCTTCATTACTACTACCAGCCACATATTCTTTTGACCGTTTTTCACTACATATTTCTTCCTCGTTAATGAGTTTAGTATTTTGGACTTCTTCTTCAGTATTGATCCATACCGGTACCGACTTATATCGTATTTATCAAACGTATTTATTTTTAGAGCATATTAGCATAATATTTTAATCTTTTAAGAACCTAAACTTCTGCTCTTTACTCCCAATACTCTATATTTACCAAGCATATAAATGTAAAAATAATACATCAAAATTTAATTAAAAAATATCCTGAGCACAGCATTTCATATTATTTTTACAGAGGTAAAATAAAGGAAAAATAAATTTCTTTTGCCAATTTAGGACACGAAGAGTGTGATTCATGTCAGAAATTTAAGCTATATGGTATGTATAGTGTATGTACTCATACTGTATTTTCTTAAGTAAACAACATTCAAGTTTGTATTATTTTACATACATACATACATGCATTTTAGCATAAAAGCAGTAAGTCCATTTCAGTCAGTTCTAGACAGTTTAGAGTTAAAAAAACATATATTTTTAGATTCTACATAAAAATACTAAGTATCATTTAATTTTTAGTTTAATTGAATACAATATATAAATAGTAATTTTTCTCGAAACTTTGAAAATGGCACATAGGTACTGCCATTGGTCTTAGTAGGGCAGTATGCAGGGGTGGATTGGCAATTATTTTCGGCCCAGGAAATATGAAACAAACCGGCCCATGAACCGCAAATTTGGCTGCATCCGAGTTGGGTCCGAAAATAATACTAGTTTTAAATTTTGTACGAATTGGGTCCGTGGGAATAAAATGTTTTGTCTGAATTGGGTCTGGGCGTATCAAATGATGCGTTTGAATTGGGTCCATGGTCCACGTATTTATACAATTATATAAAATAATTATATTATATAATTATTATAAAGTACGAATATAGATTAAGGACGTACTTTCTGGCAATAAAATGATATCTTATCGTAGTAATATACAGTACGAAAATAATATTTTAGATTAGGTATTTTCTACCGTTGAAATAATAATCAACCAGATGACGAACGATTACAAATATTCACGGAATATTTATTAAACAATTATATACATTCTGACGCTAAGTTCCCTTCAAGATTATGGTCTGAATTTAAGCCTAGTACAATAAGAACTACAAACGCATGTGAATCCTTTCACTCACACTTCAATTCTATGTTTTATTCTGCTCACCCAAATATATATCAATTTATACACGTTTTAAAAAATATTCAAATAGATGTTTATATTAAAATGAGAAGTCCAGAAGGAAAAAGAAGAAACTGTATAATATCTAAGGAAGAATTCGTAAAAGAAAAAATGACAAAAAAAGTATTAAAAAAAATTAATTGCTACGAATTCGTAAAAACTATGTCTTATAAATTTCAACCCTTAAATTAAAATATTATTAATCATTAAAAATCAGATGGACAACGAACGATTGTAAATCAGGAAAAAATTAGAAACAAAACATTTTTAACCATACCTGATGTTATTATAGACAGTCCTAAGTCTGTAAAAATGGGAAAGAAAATGTTTTTTATGTGACCCAACTCGTACGGTAGATTGGTTTACACGGGACCCAACTAGTACAGTAGACTGGTTTACTCGGGACCCAACTCGTACAGTAGGCTATTTTACACGGGACCCAATTTGTGAACAATCTGAATCATGGGACCCAACTAGTATGCGCCGGCAAATTTAACTATTTTACTCCTCCCCCTTCCCAAAAAAATGCCATATTTCGCATCAATTTCAAAATTTGTTTAGTTTCACCCCTAAATTAGTAAAATCTACAATAACTTTACTATAATTATGGCTATAATAGTTTTGGGTAAGTCGCATGATTAATCATTCCAACTTGAACTTGAAGTTTGATCTTAATGCATCTTTAAATATATATTTATTTTATAAAATAAAACTTTTTTTTGGTTATTATATAATAATATAGAGCAACCGAAACAAGGACCAGCCCATCGGGAAGATTCCCGATTTTCCAATAGGCCTATCCGCCCCTGGCAGTATGGTATACACCAGTGGTTCTCAACCTTTTTGGATTCGTGTCACCCTCATCCACGATCACTCAACACTACGTCTCCCTAACATCAAAATATTAGTTATATAAAAAACAAGCGCTATAAAAAATATAGTACGCAGAAAAATAATAACTGAAAATTTATTTTCAAAAATTTTATTTTTGCTTTACTGTTAAATAAACATTTAAATTTAAAATTGAAAAAAAAAATAATTAAGATTTTTTAAAATATATATTATATAATAATTGAATAAACTATAAAATCTAAAAATTAATGAGAAATTTGACCCTGGTGATTTTTACATAGTTGTGGAATTCGAGGGTTGATAGTTGATAGAGCGAGTCTCATATTGTCTTCTAGTGTTGTTTTTGTAAGTCTTTGGCGTTTTTTTGCTTTAATATTTGTGAGCGCACTGAATCCATGTTCACATAGCCAGGACGTCGAAAATTGAAGTAGCACTTCAATAGCTTTCGTTGATAGTCGAGGGTATTCACTGTGGAGACTTACCCAAAAGCTGTTGAGCGACATTTCTTTAAATTTTAGTTGCAGCGTACGGTCGTTTTTTAGTTCCACAGCTTCCTGTTGTAATTCACAGTCATCTGTTTGCACCAATGATGTAAATGGGTTGCGAACCCAGTCATACTGTTTCACATTCAAATCTGGAAAATAATATTTCAATGACATTTACAAGGCCTGCAAGTGATTTCTTATGGTTCCTAGAACTTCAGGATTAGAGTTTTCTTGACTTGTAAAAAGTGGAAACATAGCTGTGTTCCCTTGATCCAAGTTTGTACACCAAATGGAGATTTTTTCTTGAAAAGCTGAAAGTTTGTCGGTGGATGTTAAAACATTTTCTAATGGCCCTTGTAAACTAGAATTAACTAGGTTAAGATGCTGAAAAATGTTAGCCAAGTACGCAAATTTTGATATCCAATCGTGGTCTTCCAAAAAACTTTTAAATTCTTCATTGTCCTCTTCCATGAAAAACAGTAAAAGTTCCTCTTTAAGTTCATAGAGACGTGCTAAGACCTTTCCTCTTGATAACCACCTCACTTCGGTATGGTACAACAAATTTGTAAAACCAGCATCCATTGAATTACATATTTCGGCAAAAATCCTACTTTTCAAGGGCTTTCCTTTAATGTAGTTGACAATACGAACAGCATTAATCAAAATAGAATTGAGATCACTACCCAACGTTTTTGTCATTAGCGCTTCTCTGTGGATGAAACAATGAGTCTTAACGATTAATGGGTTTTTCATTTTAGCGAGTGTAACAAACCCTTTGATATTCACGGTCATACTTGGAGCTCCATCAGTGCAAATTCCAACACAGTCACTCCACGATATTCCATTATTTTCAAAAAAAACATTGATTGTTTCAAAAATGTCTTTGCCTCTTGTACTTTTTTTTAACTCTTTCAAACACAAAAACTGGTTTATAATATCATAACCAACAACAAAACGAACAAATCCTATCATGTAACATTTTCCGTCGCTAACAGTTGAATCGTCAACTTGAAGTGTGAACCGAGAAAGTTTCATCTTTTCTACGGTGTGTTGTTTTATATCTACAGACATATCATTTATGCGACGAGTAATAGTATCATTAGACATCGGTATCTTATCTATTTCAAGAGCCGCTTCATCTCCAATCATTATTCGCACCATTTCCTTACACTCAGGTTTGATTAAATTTTCTCCAATAGTATGCGCTTTCATGTTGTTAGCAATCATTTGGGAAACAACAAAACTAGCTTCGAGAGTCCTCTCAGAAATTTTAAATTTTTTTGTGAACTTGATTGCTTCTTTTTTTTGGCTACTTAAAAGTCTTTTGAAATAGTGAATATCTTTGCACTTCAAGTGAAAATGTTGTTTAATAAAATGTCTGTTTAATTTGTTGGGCACCATCGATTCGTTGGTAAATGTTTTTCCACATATGATACACTCGGGAATAGGTTCATCTTCTGGACCACACCATGTGAAACCAATGGATATATAAGATTCATCGTATAACCGACACTTACCTTTACTCTGTTTTGACGGCCGAGCAGTTGATGGTGAATTCCCACTCATTTTTAAAGTCCCGGAAGTTGATGGTGAGTCTTTACTCTGTTTTGACGTTCCAGAAGTTGATGGTGAGCTTTCAATCAGTGTCGAGGTCCTAGTAATAAATCTATCCATACTTATAGAAAAATAATAATAATATTAAATAATATTTAATAATAATATTTTCGATTTTTCACAAATAAATTATTATTACCTGCACTCGCTAACGAAAAATACAACACTGTCAAGGTTAAGTATAATAAAATATATACTAAAAATACTTAAAAAAGTTTATAGTATTTAATACAATTTAAAATGAAGAATTACAATTTTAACTAAAATAATAAACACTTTATACTAGCTTGAAATAATAATTCACAGTAATCAGTAAAGTATATAATAGTCGTGCGTAGTGACTGTAGAAAAACTGACACGTATCAGATAACGTAGCGTTGTCGCACGTCGAACGAACGTATTTATCGGATATATAGTGTTAACTATAAATAACTAAATTAGTTAGAAATAAATAATACAAAGATAAGAATTTTGCGGTATCTGTGCCATTTAGTGTAAACAATTATTGCGTTATTTGACTGTAGTAGCAATCACATGATACCGTTACAATAATACGATTATTTTCGAAAAATATTCTATATTTTTAAACTTTTCCCCAAGGTTTTCTTGTCACCCATACATTATATCCATGTCACCCTGGTTGACATGTCACCCTGGTTGAGAACTACTGGTATACACCATTCAGCACGTACTTTTCCGCCATCTAAAATAAGTTAATCCTAGACTGGAAAGTAAAAAACTTAGCAAGACCAGTATTTTTATGTGTAAATTGACTATGTAACCCAAATAGTAAAGGTTTTATAATACTCAAGATTATTCAAAAGTGTTAATATTCACCCAGTTTTACGGTATTAATTAGTAAGTTTAAATTATGGAATACAGGTACATGGATTTATGGCATAAATCTAGTTTATCGCTCACGCAGTTTCCTACATTTTTTTTTTTTTTAGATTTGTTCCTTGTTTATTTACTATCAACTTTTTAAAATTTAGTAGTTCGATAGTATATTAAATTATTAATATAATATACATTGAAAAAATTCAAAATTATTTTTTTAATTAGGTAGTCATGGGAAAATATATATATATTTTCAAGATTTTTTTGTCAAACCAAAATTATTTCATCTACATTTTACAAAATTAAAATAAGATACAATTAAATTGTTCAATCGAAAGAAATAAACGTATTACCTGTGATTTTTAAGTAGGTACTTATTGTGAAGAATTAACTGATTTCTATTTCTTCTAGAATTTCTGGTAAAATGTACGTACAAAATATATAAACTATTACACAGAGGCCGATTAAAAATTACATTTTATTCTTACATTGACATGGATATCACAAAAATTATTCAACGTTCAACGCTGAACTTCAACAAGACAATAATTAATTGTTTACGATTCTATGATAATTTAATTTTATGCTGCAATGGTTTTAAATAGTAATTAAGTATTAAAAATCCTACTTCGCTCCAAATGGAATTAAAATTCACCTAGGGAGCAAAAAAAAAAAGGGACGAGGAATAGCTGCGAAACCCCTTGTCAATATCATCATATATTTTTAATGGTTCTGTGAAAAAAATACAAATATTTCTTTTTTTTTTTTTGCAAATCTAAGAAAATATGATAATCATTGGTAAGTGCAATTATTAATTTTTATAATTAAGGATATGTTTGTAGACAGTATAGGTGCCTACATCATAAATAAGTATACATAATATAAATATACAACAGAGAAGCCTTTTAATGTATTAACTGTTCGTTTGATTTTTTTTTCGATGGTTATAATTTAGGTAATTTATTACCTAGTTGATTATAAATTTGATGCGTTTGATTTATATTTTTCCAAAATATTTTTGAGTTATCGACCAAAGCCATAACTAGCAAAAAAATTTTTTTTTTTTTTTAATGAGGGGTTAAAGCAGTGTTTCCCAAACGTTGAGGCATGCCTCCCTAAGGAGGCGCAAGTATTTATTAGGTGAGGCGAAAGACAAATATTTATATAGTATATTACACTATCATGTATTTATTTTTAGATCAGCAGTAATGTGTTTTTATTAAACTAATAAAAATAATTTATTTATTCATGAGAAGCGTGATTAAAGGTTTTTTTGTTATGGTCCTGCTCTAGGTTAAAGTATAAATATGTTTTTTAACTAGCAAATTTTAATACTTCAAATTTAGTAGGCATTTAAAACCATTCTATTTTATTTTAATAAAAATGTAGTAAATTAATTAATATATAAAGTTATTTAAAATTTAAAATACATCAAACCGTATTTAATCATAATGGTCCAACGTTTTATGTTCTGTAGACAACGTGTTTAATAATTCGAACCATAATATTGCAGTGCACACCTTACCATAACATATTTTCGTTGAAATTATTAGAAATTATCATGACTTTTTTGCTCATATATAATTACTCGAGTCTATGAATAATGAGTTTCTATATGTATATTGTAAGAATACGTCCCGGAAAACCGGGATTGTCACCGGTTTTAGCGAATTTAAATTCCTACACGATAGAAAAAGGTACATATGAAGTTCTTACACGATAAAAACTAAATAAAAAATAATAATATAACACAATGCCATGTATTTTCATTTTTTTTAGATATATGTTTAAAAAATTTAAAATCATTTAAAACTAGCAGTTTTTTACCTTTTTTCACTCAACATGAATGATACATTCTCGCTCATTGTGACTGATATATATGGATTTGTGCGGACACACGGATGATTCGAATAATACTAACAATACTTTTATGCTAGATGTACATTTTACGGTGTATGGTTATAATAAATTATAAGATTTCAAACCATAATCAAGTTCTGTATCATTTTTATCCGTAATGAAAAGTCGTAATAATAAGATATTTTATCTTTCCTACGTCAAGTCAGGATACTATTATCAGCCTGTAGCTTGTTGTATTTTTCAGTAATTTCGTATACGTTTTTCAGATACTCTAATATACTATAATCTATATATATACTATACTATACTATATTATACTCTAATATAGTATTTGAATGTTTCAAAGTTTCAATAATCTGGGATCTGGCATCCACATCCTTCCATTGTACACGTAACTGGTCCTTTCAATATATTAAAAGTTATATAAAAAGAATATTAAGTATAAAATGTGATTTGACTTAATTAACAATAACGGCATATCGAGGACTACCGTGATACGATTTAAAATTACGCGTTGACCCAAATTTGCCTATACATTTTTTTTTATATCTGCACTAATAAAATACCTATTTTTCGAAATCGAGCCATTGTATATACCAGCTCCTCCTGTATACACGGGCCTTTTAACAGTACTTCATTTAAACTAATATTAGTGTCGGTTTTCTCCGATGCGTCGAATACTACCCGTAATTTGGTGCTCGTACTGCTCTCTTTCAATACGGCGTGATGCGGTAGATAATAATGACGATCTGTCATTGAGACATCGGGATTCGCATTCGCAATTGACATGTGCCCAAGTTCAATATGTATATTCGTTCATAAATTTGACGTAGTCATTCTTCGAGTCTGTGCCCGCTTGCAAACGCATTTCTAACGACAGAAATCGAAGTAAAACTCTTTCTCATATGAGTTCCCCAACTTAAGCGCCGTCTTAAATGGCAATACAACAACAAAACGTCCGTTATCATCGCGTTGGACGTATTTTTCGAAGTGCTGCTTGCACGCACGCTCTTCCATAGTGCAGGGGTTGGTAACCTCGGGCCGCGGGCCGCATGTGGCCCGAGAAGTAATTTTTTATGGCCCGAATAAAGATGGTTAATTTTTGTGTTTTATTTTTGTTCAATAAATTGTTCACACAATTTTCAATACTATTAAATTATTTTTTCTTTATTAATAAAATTGTTATTATCTAATCGGAGTCGAAGATAATGATGGCTGCACTACTCAATCATAGGATAAATTAAATATACTTCTATATATATTTAAAAATTAAAATTTTAAATATATTTAATCTATGTGTATCTAATATATTTAATCTATGATCATAGTTACTTCGCGTTTGTAGCAATGATGAATATTACGCCGTGATCACTCCCGTACGTGTGACTGTTTGCGTTTGTAATCAGTGGCGTAGCCAAGAGGGGGGGGCTAAGGGGGCTATAGCCTCCCCCATGGGCCGTGTTTATATGTATAATGTATCTTGACTATTTAATAGAATCAATGCTCGTTTTAATCAAAGGCTTATTGATGTTATGCCACTTGAAGGACTTATTCCGGCCAATTTAAATATATATGACGATAAAAATATTATAAAAGCTGCTAAAATATATGTCCAAGATCTCCATGATGATACCTCATCTACAATCAGAGCTGACCTGTTCATATGGAGGCAACAATGGAGTAAAAATACTATTCCAAAACCGAATTTTGCTCTTGATTCACTCTCTCATCGCAACAATTTTCGACCTAACATTAAAATACTTTTACAATTATTCTCCACGTTACCAGTTACCTCTTTCACTCCGGAAAGAACGTTTTCAGCACTTAATCGCTTAAAAATTTTTTTAAGAAGCACCATGTCGGAAAACAGACTGAATGGGTTAGCTATGGCTAATATAAATAAAAAAAAGCAATTCCATGAAAGAGAAATAATAACTGAATTTGCCAGAAATTTGCCTAAGAGAATGCAGCTGTCAGAGTGGAGCAAGTGACTGAACACTGAAACCAAAATTATTATTATTATTATAAATTATATATTAATAAATATTTTTAAAACTATACTAAAATGCTTGGATTACGTTTAGAAACTTGGTGGTAGATGGGGGGGGGGGGGGG